GCTCCCCCGGCCCGGGCGAGCGGCAGACAGGGGCGACATCGCAGCCTGAGTCGATTTAGGTGAAATTGTCCATTACTGAAGGTTTGCCCCGAACACGTGCCAGGCTGTCCGAAGCTGCCAGCGTCGGCAGTAATTCCTGATAGTTGCTTTTTGGTTTAGTCAGCTAACACACAAAATTATAAAGTAAACATATACCTAGTCTCTTATATATGTGTATATGCATGTACATAAACACCCCCACATATATGTATATCTCCAGTTTCTTGGGTGTAGAAGTGATCCCCTAGCAGAGTTGTATTTCCCGCTGTTTATTTAAGCGTCGAATATGTAAAGTAACTCTGTGTGTGTTTACAACCGTATCTTTACCTCCTGACACTATCTTGAGATCATTTCAAGACAGCTTAGTTATCTCTACAAGTGGCAACGCTGGGTCCCACTTCTTGTTTGAAATAAAGCTGGAGGGTGTGTTTGCTCCCTCAGCTTCGGAAAGGAAAACATCTTGCAAACTAAGTTAGGGCTCCGAGGAGGTCCGTTGTTTAGTAGCTGTCTCATCGGCAAATGCAAGTTTCAGAACTTTTTCTTGGCTGTTTCATTGCAACCAGATTTCCCCGCAGGAAGGTATTCCGCGTGAATATGTCTTTGCCTCTCTTTCACCCAAACTCTAGTCTCGTCGGTTGCCTTTTAAAAAAAATAGGACTTTGAAAAAATTATATTTTCCTGATGAATTGGAGGGCACTTATACACTACATTCATGAGGGCGGTGTAACAGCCCATATGGAACAGAACACAAAACCGGGATCTAAACAAACTCAAAGGGGACGTTTAAGATGGGGGCGGGGGGGGATTCAGAAGGGTTTGGGGCGGACACGCTCGGGAGCGGGCAGTTTCGCGCACAGAAAAGCAAAGGCACCGTGTAGCCTAAGCGGAGCCTGCCCTTTGAAAAACATACACAAAGAAACCCGCGCCCACGGGAAAGTTGCATTTTGCCTGGTTTGGGAAGCTTTCAGATAACTGCCCGCTGGATCCCGCAGCGCCGCGGGGGCCGGTGCCCGGCGGGGACGGGCTGCGGAGCGC